CCCCTTGTATACAAAAGCCTTGTATGGCAACATTTCTGGGATAAGAATCATATGTATGTGTAAATGCTTCTCAGCTGTGCAAAAGAGCTACCATAGCATCAAGTGAATGGTAGATTTCATAATAAGAAAATGGTCCCCGCTGTATCTCTAGAACTGTACATCTCTAGAACTTCTATTGGTCCCCCTGTTAACTGGAATTGCTGTTTGTTGTTTGACAATAGTGGATTTCATTCTGTTTTCTTTGGTAATTATATACGTTAACTCTAAATTATAGTTTATAAGTCCCAGACAAAAACTTTGTTAAAATACAGTTAAGGTTGTAAATAGATTTCTCTTTAATTAAACTTACGTTATTAGAATGCAGTTTAAAATAACCCAACCCACAAATATTTGAAAGTCAGGTTAAAGGGCTTGATCCAAAGTCCATAAAGTCAATGGAAAGACTCCCATTGATTTCAGTGGGATTTGGCCCATATAACTTAAAGCTTTCACAGAAGTACTCATATATGTGTACTCCCTGAAGGAGGAGGCAGACCTTGAAAGCAGGCCTCCCACAACATTCATCATGCATATCAGACAAGTGCCCATATGGAAAAATCCTATAGAAATGTGCCAGGGACCAATGTAATCAATACAGTTCTGTAGAAATGTGAGCAGCCTAAAATACTGCACAGAACATGGAAAATGCCAAAGAGTAAGTGATCCTGAGACGATGATGTTTCCATGTGAGGGTCATATCTGCATTGTAGCCCTCTCTCTGGAACATAACCATACTCCCAGAGTTTACATGTTCCATCCAAGTGCTTCCCTAAGCTCATCCTTCTGCCATTTGTGTCACTCTTTCTATTAGTTTAGTAATAGCCTGTCATCTTGATTTTTCTTAATTTTGCTTGTGATATAAACTTCTCTTCCCCCTCCCCACCCGCCCACCATGTGAACAGATTTCTTCTGCCATATGCCCATTTAAACCTAATTGTAGTGTCTGAAAAACTTTTATGCCTAGCTGCAGTATCCCTTGGGGTTCAACTATGGCACAGTATGTATGTGACCTATAAAGCCATTTCAGTGTGAGACTCTTTCAGTACATGGATCTTTAAAGCGTGGCCATCTATGCTATGCACAAACACATGTGACCATCCTGCTTTTTTACGAGGGTATAATTTTTTGGGCAGATTCCATATTTAAAATCAGTATGCAAAGTATTTTTAAAATCTCAGTTTCCCCAGGATCAAGTTCCTAAAGATTAAAAATGAACAAATCAAAGCTGTTACATTTTGTTTTTTACTCCAGCTAATTTGTAGTGGTAGCTACTCAAACATGACTAATTGGCAATTTGTAAAATGGGTTGCTTTCAACAGCATGTTTCTTAGAAGCATGAGTTATGTGGCTGTTGCTTTATTATGGTAAGTCTTAAAAAATGGGGTTGTGGTGAAAAGTGAAGTCAGAGAAATATAGCAAAAAAAGTTAAGTGTTACAGGCTTTGTTTTGTAACCCAAATAACCTTTATTTCCCCATTTTAGGGCAAATAACTCGAGCTATGATTGTTCTGTGTTAACAGTGGGCATATAACAGTAGTTACCATACCAGAGCCAACTTTTGCCCCAGCTACCACACACTGTCATGGGTGAGTGTGTCTCAGTATGTATGTTACAAGACAAGCACTGTGTTCAGATGGAGTGAAGAGTACACATGCACAGATGACTTTGATCTTTGCAGATTTTTGTTTGTTGGTGGGTGGAACCGAGCACAGCTGGTCCTCCTGGCTCCTGCCTCTGCTAGGCCCAGATAAAGTCACTCAGAGACCCTCTGGTTCTGAAACCACTGGTGCTTTTATTTACAAGTCTGTGTTCCCACCATCTTCTCACCCTACAGTAAACACACCTCTGGGTTCCTTGTGTCTGAACCCAGCGGGTTTTCTCCCTGCCTTCACCCCCTCATCTCCTGTCCCACCCCTCCCTCTTCCTTCTTCCCAGCCTCTTATATAGCCCTGGGCTAACTGAGCTGGCAGTTGGCTCTCTTTCCCCAATTAGGGTAGGTTCTTTCCAGCCAGCACCACTTTATTCACTTAAATGGTGCTGGTGTGGCAGGGGATTGATTCTGCAGTCTTGCTGCTCAGCACCCTGTCACAGTGGGACACACAAATCTTGAAAACTGTCAACATTAGGCTGCCTGGGGAGGCCTAGAAAGGGGGAGTAGTCCAGCAGCAGTATATGCATTAAATGTATGCATTCCAAGTCAAAAATCTATGTTACATTGGAGTTGATTGACTGAACATATTGGTAACCTAAGTGTAAAATACATTACAGGTATGTTGCAATTATCCTCAAGACCTGGAAGTTCAGAGCTCAGGTTACACTTAAAAGAAATCAAAACATGTTAAGTCATGGAAAGGCACAATGAAGACATCCAAACAACCTTAACTCTGCCCTGCAGTGACCCCACACAATAACGGTATGACAGTGATTAAGGTGTATAGTGGTTCAAGAGTAGATTAAAGTGATCTTTAAATACACATTATGGTTTTTTAAAAATATTTTTACTCCTTCTTATGTCAGTACAGTGCAGATCCTACATCCAAACATATCTGAACTTTGACGTATTCAAAATCTAGATTTGGATCCAGATCTAAATTTTGTGGTTTCAGCTGTTTACAAAGATATTGTAAACAATTAGTATTTAAGAAACAACACAAAACCAGCAGCTAAGGTGGGCAAAATTAGCAAGGAGGGGCCTATTCTTTTCCTCTTCTTAACTCTATGATTAGAAGTTAGGAAGAGCAATGTCCTTTGTAGCATAAGTCATGAACAAAGCCAAACACTAGAGAACTTGTTTGTGTCCATTTTCAAACCAATCATCTCCATGATAAACTCCTCCCAAACCTCATTAGACTATCTCTCCTATGAAGACATATGTAGATCTCACCACTCTGATGCAATTACTATACGGGATTGTAACACAGCAGCTGCTCTTTATGGGGAGTTAGGGCCCAGTCTGCTCATGAGGTGGTCAGGAGAAAAGCAACATTCTTCTTTATCCTCCCACATACTCAAGGGCATAGCAGTGCCACTGGAACACTTTTAATAGTGGGGATGCTGAAAGCTAGCCCCCTTACGTCTGTCTGTGCCCCTGCCACCTAGACCTGGGGCCGGGAGCAGGGACGTGTCTCCGGGACGGGAGGACCCAGACAGAGGTAAGGGGGCTGAGGCTGGGGCTGCAGCTGGAGGTGGGTGCAGCATCCCCTGCACCCCTAGTTCCCATACCTATGGGTCATAGGTTGTCCATCAGTTTCCATAATTTATTTGGTCTTGTGCTGGTCTGCTCAGGTTTCTGAGTATCATGTTGATGTATCTGGTTTCTTTCTCTGTGTAATGTTTCTCTAGGTGGCCCTCTTCTTCTCTTTCCAGGTAATGTCCATATTCTCACTTGCCATGGAAGTCATGTGGGTGGCATCCTTAAAGTGTGTCCTAAACACGTTCATGAGCACCTTCTTACGCTGTTTGATGCTTTAGATTGGGTTGTTCTTCTTAGAGTTTCTTGCAGCATCAGAAATTCTTTACAATGGATGCTGAAGATCTTCCATGGGCATTTACTTTGGAATGAATTAATCTTCTAACTGATTTATTTTGTAGATTTCCATGACTCTGCTCCATAAAGGAGGACAGCCATGATGCTGGTGTTAAGAAAAAAAAAATTCTGTCAGTGTCAATCGTGCTACTTTTTCAAATCTTTTCAAGATTATGAAAATTATTTTCTCCTTTTGATATTTGTTACCTGATGCCTAGCATGGTGGTACCAACATTGCACATCTCATGCCTTAGATAGGTAAAATGACTTACTACTTGTAAGATCAACATTGGGCTGCAAGATAATAGAAAAAATCAAGGGCTAAGCCATCTGCTTCCTTACATTATTGCAGTCAGATATGGCTGATCATCTGACTCTTGTCTTAATCGGGTGAAGATGTTTTCAAAATAAAATCTGTGGAGTGGTGACAGATAATACTGTAGTTGGGAGGGGGGCGGATATGGAGTTTTGGTAAGAGATTTATTTTCAGAGTGTTAATAAATGCTACCCAAGAAAGAGTGCGTTTTCCAGTGTTGCAGTAAGTGTTTTCCAGTGTTCAAAGCTTCCACCTATATACCTCCCAAAAATTCATCTCTTCCATGATGCCAATATTATGGCCCAATACAGCAAGGCACTTGAACAGATGCTTAAGGCCCATTGACTTCAATGGGATTGAAGCATGGACTTAAGTGCTTTGTGAATTAGGGTTTACGTGAGCCAAGAATATTAACTATAGGCCTGATCCAAAAAGCATTGCAGTCAACTGGACTCTTTCCATGGACTTCAGTGGGATTTGCTTGACATTCCATTTTTCTTAATTTTTAATACATTTAATTAAAACATCTCAGCTGAAGAACCATTATATTTCTGTACCTAAGATGAGCAGTCACATAATGGTATTACTACAACTCCAGTCTTTTTTTGCCTCACTGTCCTCCTTACTCTTTGTCACCTCCACTTGTGTGTCATGCTTAAAATATAGATTGGTAGCTCTTAGGGGCATACACTATTTCTCCTTTTGGGCCTTATCAAATAATAGGTATTAGCAAAAACACTCTCCAAGAACTTGCTCAGTATTTTTTATGAGGGTGAATAGTTTAACTCAAAATGTTTTTCTGTCATGGCAGGAACATGAACATAAAAATATGGTAGAACTGTCCACCCAGCAGTAAGGCCCCATCAAGACTGCTCAGAAGCCACTATGGTAGAAAAACAGACCATGCTTCCAATAAATTCATTAATTTTAATACCAATGACCTAATCAAATTTGTAAAGCTCTTTAAAATTTATGTCGTTGGTGTTAACATTTCTTGGGTAGCATTTATTATAAAATATTTGGGAGTGAAATAATTACTTGCAAATTGTATTATGTAACTGTACATGTTGTTTGACCAATAATCAGACCTTTCATATCTCATTTCTCTTCTGTTTTGCAGCCTACATTTGTCAACTAGCGCTAGCTTTGCACATGAAAACACATGTTGAAGTCTCTAATGAGCTGCTGATGGGTAAGAACAAATAGCTTGGGAAAAAAGTGCTTTGGCTTATTCCAGATAAAGACACTGATGTCCTAAGTTAACATCTAATATGTTTTAAAGCTCAGAGCTAAAACACACGTGAAGTTGTATGTGTCAATGCTGCTGTGGATGTAATTAGTGTAAATGGGATTTAGCATATCACATTTCATACAGTCAAGTTCTGTAACCACCTGGCCACATCATATATGCTAATCCTTTTCTCTTAATAAGAAATTATGTGGAATTGGATTGAAACAGATAAAATATATACAAATCTGCTGCAATAACAACACTTTGGAGTTTTGGAGATTGGTTTTTGAAGGGTCAATTCTAATCAAATTTGGTGAAAAACTTGTGAGATTTAAACTAATATTTAATATATGAATTTTGTATTATTTGAGTGTGTTCACATGCTGAAATGCTCCAGTGAGAAGGAGAATTATTGATAGCTGAATTTCAAAACCAGTTTCAGTTATACTTGACGGTCTTCACAAATACAGAGCTTCAAGCTTTTTTTACACAGCTTCTTTTTTTTGGTGGTTGTTGTTGGTTAGTGCATCATGTTTTTCTTATCCTTTACTAGATGCAGCAAAAAAGAGTGTTCTGTTTTATAGCTGCAGCACTCTGTGATTCCTGAAAATGTGAATTTTTTCAAAAGAAAAGATAAATGTGGGAATGAAATGGTTGAAAATTCCTCCTTCGATAGTTTATAATTTTTGTTTTAACAGCTAGACTATGGATTTTTTTTTATTGCATATGGTGTTCTAACTAAAAGCTTAGAAACATATCCACCATGTATGCTTGTGTGTTTATTTCTTTGGGGCTCTGCTTTGGATCTCAGAGATATGGTATAATCCATAGACTGTTCAGCTGACTACGGCAAATTGTCCCTTATTGAATAATAGAGGATCCTTTCTGAAGAAATTCCCATAGGATGGGATCAAGAAGGATGGCTAGGAATACTCCATGAGGATTCCCCTTGTGAGTTTTCCCCAAATTTCTTTGTTTAAGGAAGAGTTTTGTTGCATGGTTTCCCCCCAAATTTGTGAATCACTGTATCAGCTTTCGGGCTCTCCTGAGCATTCTGACAATGCAACCTCACCAGTAATTTTGAAGTCAATGGAGCAATGCTGACTTACACCCGTTGAGAATCTAGTGCAATATGTATAACTTTACACCGTCTGTACAATCCGGGCAAGTTAATGGCCTGCTGAGAAGATGAACTTGTATATTTAGATTCACAACTGCAACATTGTTTCAAAGTTGATTTTTTGTATTTAAGTGGAGCTGAGTTTGCCACTTTCAAGTGTTTGGGGAGGGGGAAGAAGTATCTTCTCAAATCTTTTCTAGAATACAGTGGAATGTTTACTTTCTCATTCTGTAACTCTCTCATCTTGTGTAACAGTTGTGCTAGGGCAGTACTTGCTATCTAGTTCTTTACTGAATTGCCATTTTTCCATTTGGCCTTTTGTTAACATTTCTGAAAAATAACTGACTGTCTACAGCTGTTCAAATCACGTTGCTTTTTTCTAAATGTTACCTTAGTGATTGTTCTCACCAATATGGGCTTTACTTCAAAAGGAAAATAAGGTACAATAGGGCTTGTTGTTGAGTAAAACTGAACATGTGGGCAGTGGGAATCTGAATCTGAAAAGCGAATTGCACAGGTTTAATACAGCAGCCATTCACGTCTCACTGTGACGAAGGCCCTACAGAATTTTGGCAATATCGCTATATACAATTAACTTTAAATAACTTTTTTTGTTTTCCACAGTTGGTGTTATTTCTTCATTTTTTCTCATTTGAAGCTAATCCGCATCTAAGAAACAATTAGCATGATTGTGCATGTTAGTGTTAACTGGGCTTTAGGTTTTTGCAATAGCATTAGCTATACTCTTCCTATGGCACTGAGCATAATAAATTATGGAAGTGTAACATATGAGGCCAATTAATATACTACTTTGCTGTTAAAGGCACTATAATAATCATAAATTGACTTTCATATGATTTATATTAATCGATGGTCTACCCTATTTGAAGGAATTCTTTAAAGAATTCTTAAAATTACAGTTCTGGAATAAAAAGAAATTTTGCTTGTAGATTTCTATTTCTATGCAATGTAATCTTTACTTCTGTTGGAGAAGTCACTATGTCCAGTTTCTCTCCTTGATCCCCATATGCAAATCCCACTGACAAATGGCAAAAAAGTTAAAAGATAGAATTTGGCCATGATACAAAATCAGGAAAGAACCAAACCATTTTGAAGAAATAATAATAGTTGCAAGTTTTTATCTTTGCTGGAGATTGGTACTGAATTGATTATATTAATATTTAGATGAGGTTAATGATCTTATCTTTTTTCTTTCACTCTGTTTGTAAGGACAAAAACATCTAATTTATAAATCAGAAGTGAGGAACAAAGGAATGAACTGAAGTAACTCAACTCTACCCTTTCCAAAGCTGAGGACACAAAGTAATAATTGTCACTCAGCTAAATTATCACACAAAAGAACAGCAAATCATTCATTTCCACATGAAAAAGCACAAAAATAGGATTTCTGAAAGACTGATTGGAAGATTAATGATCAGAAGGTTAGCATTAAAGTTTGTGCCTAAAGGTACATGAGCTTTTGGGGCCTGATTCTCCACCCCATTTACACCAGTTTTCTTTCAGCATAACTACATTGAAATTATAACATTAGTGTAAAGGGAAAATTTGGCCCAATGGTTTAACAGATCTAGTCACAAACATTTTGGGTCAGATCCTTAGCTGGGGTAAACAGGAAGTGCTTCACTGACTTCAATGGAGCTGTATAGATTTATATGAGGTAAGGATCTGCTGTCTTTGTCTGGGTGGATGGGTATGTTTTTGATAAGTTAGGGCAGCCAAAAGTCTAGGTACCAACATCAGCATAGGGTTCAACTGAGCATTTACATCACATTCCCCTGCAAACTGCTTGCACAGTCTGGGATGTTTCAGTCTGCAGGCTCAATGAAGAGGAGACATCAGTGAGAGTAGTCACTCATTCTGTCCCTGATGCCAGATTGACTCAGCAACCCCCTCTACTCCCAGATGAGCCGTTCAGGAGTGGGGTATTGGATAAATGGGCTGTGCATTGAAGAATCATAGCAATGAAGGGCTGGAAGGGACCTTGAGAGATCATCTAGTCCAGCCCCCCATAGTGAGGCAGGACCAAGTATACCTAGACCCTCCCTGACAAATGTTTGTCCAACCTGTTCCTAAAAACCTCCAATGATGGGGATTCTAAAACCTTATTTGGGAACCTGTTCTAGTACTTACATATACTTTATAGTTAGAAAGTTTTGCCTCCATATCTGACCTAAATCTCCCTTGCAGCAGATTAAGCTGATGATCCTATCTTCAGCGGACATAGAGAACAACTAATCGCTGTTCCCTCTGTAACCACCTTGAACATATTTAAAGACTGTTATCAGGTCCTCTTAGTCTTCTTTTCTCAAGACTAAACATGCCTAGTTTGTAAACGTTTCCTTGTATGTCTGGTTTTCTCAACCTTTTCTCATTTCTTGTTGCTCTCCTCTGGACTCTCTTCAGTTTCTCGACATCTTAAAGTGTGGTGCCCAAAACGGGACACATTATTCCAGCCGAGGCCTCATCAGTGCCGAGTAGAGTGGGTCAATCACCTCCCATGTTTTATACACAATACTCCTGTTCAGACACCTCAGAATATTAGCTTTTTTTGCAACTGCATCATATTGTTCACTTATCTCCAATTGGTGATCCTCTATAACCCCTACATTCTTGTCAGCCAGTTATTCCCCATTTTGTAGTTGTGCATTTGATTTTTTTTTCTTGTGTTGTATTTTGCACTTGTCTTTATTGAATTTTATCTTACTGATTTCAGTCCAATTCTCCAGTTCATCAACATCATTGTGAAATCTAATCCTGAATTCCAAAGTGTTTTCAAACCTCCCTCCCCCACAACCTCTGGTTGCTGTCATCCATACATTTTATAAGCCTACTATTCACTCCATTATCCAAATTATTAATGAAAAAAGACCTCTGTGTGACCCCACTGGATATAACATCCCAGTTTGACAGTATAGCTACTCTTTTTGAGTACTGTCTTTCAACCAGCTATGCACCCTCCTCATCCTAATGTCATCTAAACCAGTGCTTCTCAAACTATCTGGTGTGGGGGACCGGCAATTTTTTTTCCCCAGTGTGTGTGCAGACTGGCAGCCGATGGCTCGCGGACCGGCACCGGTCCGCGGACCACCACTTTGGGTAGCACTGATCTAAAGTACATTTCCCCCATTTGCTTATGAAAATGTCATGTGATATTGTATCAAAAGCATTACTAAAATCAAGACATATTACCTCTACTGCTTCCCACACCCAGTAGGGCAGGAATCCTGTAAAAGAAGGAAATTAGGTTGGTTTGGCATGATTTGTTCTTGACAAATCCATGTAGGCTATTACTTATTACCTTAATAGCCTCTAGGTGCTTATAAGTTGATTGTTTAATAATTTGTTCCAGTATCTTTCCAGGTATCAAAGTTAGGCTGACTGGTCTATAATTCTCTGAATCCTCTTTGTTCTTTTTTTAAAAGATAGATACTATGTTTGCCCTTCTCTAGCCCTCCATAAGTTCTCAAAGATAATTGCTAACAGTTCTGAGATTGCTTCAGTTAGCTTTTTAAGTATTCTAGGTGAACTTTGTCAGGCCCTGCTGACTTGAATACATCTAACTTAGTAAATATTCTTTAACCTGTTCTCTCCCTATTCTGGCTTTTGTTCCTTCCCCCTTAATATTAATTATATTAAGCATTTGGTCATGCTTAACTTTTTTTTAGTGAAGACTGAAGCAAAATAGGCATTAAACACTTGGGCCTTCTTGATGTCATTTGCTATTAGCTCTCCTTCCCTTCCCTGCATTTTCCTTCATCTGTCTCGTGCCCAAATGTATTTATAAAACCTCTTCTTGTTGCCTTTTATGTCCCTTGCTATG